CCCCGTCCCCCCCCCTCCCTAGGCGGGGCCGTCTCGCAGGCAGAGGGAGGGCGCCGAGGAGGGAAGAAGGGGTGTTTGGAGAAGCTCCCGCTCCCCGCCAGGGGACCTCGCACCCGCGCCGCCCCTCTCTCGCGCAGCCGCCTACCCCCCTCCTCCCCGCAACGCCGGGGCGCGAGAGCTTTCGGGGATCGCTGGAGCGAGGCGGCGGCGCCCCACATCCCTCCAGCGCGGCAGGTGACCTCGGGGTCCGCGGACCGGGACGCCGCTCTGGCTTTGGCCCGAAAGGGCGCGGCGGCTCTAGAACCCGCTGGCTCCCGCCGCCCCGTCCCGCCCTGCACTCCTGCCCCGCAGCCGCGCTCGCGGCTGCCCCGTCCCCTCCCCGCGTGCTGAGCCCGGAGCGGCCAAGCGGCCCCGGAGTGCGGGAGGAATCGCACATAAATCTGCCGTAATGATGGTGGTGCTAATGAGACCCCGCAGCTCGCCAGCCGAGCTCCCGCTCACTGCGCATGAGCAGCAGCAGCGGGCGCTCCCCAGAGCCCGGGACTCCTCCACACTTCTGACAGGCCTAGGCGGGGATCCAGGAGGCCAAGAGTTTGGGATGACACCTCACCCGGTGCCTGCGCTGTGGCTCAAGGGCAAGAGTTACCGCCAGGAGGAAGGCTGGTTTCCCGGGCTTCACCTATTGCCAGGCTGCCTCCCCAGATCCTGATCTCGCACAGTGATCCGAAACCGTGCCAGGCACATCCAACACGATTGCTTTCTTGCCAAGAAGGAAGTTTTGAATTCGGATTTTTTTTTTTTTTGTCCTCATCCCGTTTGTTAGTAGTGTGACCTTGGGCAAGTCGCTGGACCTCTCTTGTGCTGGCAGTAATGTAAGGCACCTGTGTGCAACACACCCGTAAGAGTAGATAAGCTTCCTTGTCACGGACACAGGGAACCCAGCAGTGAAGGGTGGGTAATGTCTGCACTCATGAACCCCAGAACTCACTCTGGTGGCTTCTCTATTGTGGCTGGCTCAAATTCAGTACCTAGCTTTGGCTAAGGTCTGCTTCTGCCCTAGTGGCCCACTGGTCCATGTGGAGAGATAGATACATAGTCAGATCCTTAAAAATGGGAGGTAAGAGGGCTAGGGGATGTGACCCTGCTGTTACCATGCACAGGGCTGTGGCTGGGAATTCCATCCCCAGCACAGTTGACACTGGACACGGGTGGCACACACCTGCAATCCTAGCACTTGGGAGGTACAGAAAGGGGGATTAGGAGTTCATGGCCATCTTTGGCTATAGTAAACTGGAGGCCAGCCTGGTCTACAGAACAAGTTCCATTTATTCCAGGGTTACATAGTGGACCCTGTCTGAAAAAATGCGGGGGCAGGGAGTGTGTTCCAGCTGCTGTGTGTGGTTCTTAGGCTGTATGGAGGCTGAAGCCTGCTTCCTGGGAATTGCTCCCAGCCATCTGGATCAGCAGAGGCGGAGAATGAGAAGAGGTGACCTAGTTTCAGATGGGTAATCCAGGCATGAGAGCCCAGCAGGATCAGTACTTGCTGCTAACCCCGACGACCTGGGTTCAATACCCTGGACCCACTTGGTGGGAGGAGAGTGTAGTTTCTGCACCCAGATAAGCCTCTTCGCAGATGCAATAATCCAAATCAGACCAAATCAAACCTTAGAAAAAGCCCAGGTTTAATGGATGCCAACGCTCCCATGTGGCTTCCCAGCGCCCGAGAGGAGCCTGGGAAGGAAGACCTGAAAACTGTGTGTTTGTGCTCTGGGGTGCTGTGTATATACTCTGTGGGAGTGGTCTTGAGCATCTCTGGGAAGGGGTCAGCATTTTTGTGGGCTTTCTCGGGGGTGAAGTCTAGACTGAGACAACTCCCAGGGGAGGGGGCTTGGGATGAAACTTCCACCCGAACATCCCAGACTCTTTGGGCATATGGATGCCAGGGGCTGTGGTGTGGCCTCCATCCAAACATCCCAGACTCTTTGGGCATATGGATGCCAGGGGCTGTGGTGTGGCCTTAACCCAAACATTCCAGACTCTTGGGGTATGTGGATGCCAGGGGCTGGAGCGATGCTTCCAATCAAACAGAGTATCACCTCTTGCAAGTATCCTCTGATCTCTGTGTCCCCATCTCCTTCAGTCAAGTAGTAAATGTTTAAAAAAGCAAACTCAGCTTCACTTTTCTGGCATAGCAAGGGTGTCTAACTTTGTCCTTTGTCTTGAGGGCTTTGCACGAGTCGGGTGGTGGGAAGCAGCCATTTATTAGGGATGGATGGACACCATAGCTCCTGCTTCTTGGATTGCACTGAGCACTGGGTTCCACAAACCAGCAAGAAAGCCCGGCCTTATTCTAGTTCTGAATCTGTGCATGCACGTGTGCCCGTGTGTGTGCACATGCAAACACACATCTGGGTGTCTTCCTATATCGTTCTCCACGTTAGCAGCAGCAGCAGCAGCAACAGCATTGTCAGTTTTTTGAGACAGCATTTTTTTCTGTAGCCCTGGCTGTCTTGGAACTCATTATGTAGACCAGGCTGGCCTTGGTCTCACAAAGATCCACCTTCCTGTTTCTGCCTCCTGTGTGCTGGGATTAAAGGCCTTTGCCACATGGAGTGCTCTGCACTTGGCTGGATCCATTGGCCACTGAGTCCCAGGGATCCTTGTTCCTGCCTCCCTAGCACTAGGGTTATAGACTCACACTTCCATGGCTTTTAATGTGGAAACTTGTGGGCTAAACTTTTCTTTCTTTATTCTTTTTTAAAAAAATATTTATTTATTTATTTATTATGCATACAATATTCTGTCTGTATGTATGTCTGCAGGCCAGAAGAGGGCACCAGACCTCATTACAGATGGTTGTGAGCTACCACGTGGTGGCTGGGAATTGAACTCAGGACCTTTGGAAGAGCAGGTAATGCTCTTAACCTCTGAGCCATCTCTCCAGCCCAGCTAAACTTTTCGTACACTGTGAAGGTATGTTTCTTCCAAGGTATGTTGTAGGAAACATGCACACTGTGTGAAGATGAACTGCTGTGATTGGTGTAATAAAAAGTTGAATGGCCAATAGCTAGGCGGGAGGTATGGGCAGGTCTTCCAGGCGGAGAGAGAACTCTGGGAACAAAAAGGTGGAGTTGCCAGCCAGGCACCTAGGAAGTAGCATGGGCAGTATGAAGAGATGAGGTAACGAGCCACACGATGGAATGTAGACTAAAATAAACAGGTTAATTTACGTTATAAGAGCTAGTTGGGAACAGACCTAAGTTAAGGCCAAGCTTTCACGGTTAATAAGAAATCTCCATATCATTTTGTGCGAGCTGGCTGTTCACAGACGTCTGACTACAGGAACTACGACAAACCCAGCCTGTCATGCTGAGTGTGGTAGGCCCTGTCCTCATTTCTAGCTCCAGTTTTTCTCTTTTTAAAAAACAGTTAATGTAATGAGTGTTTTACCTGTGCATGCTTGGTGCCTGAGGGAGCCAGAAAAGGGCAGTGGATCCCTGAGCCTGGAGTTCTAGACGGTTGTGAGCTGCCGTATGGGTAGTGGGAACCAAACCAAGGTCTTCTAGAAGAGCAACTTAACTGCTGAGCCACCCTCAGATTTTATTTTTCTAAAAAATGTATACTATTACTACTACTACTACTACTATTATTATTATTATTGAGGCAGGGTTTTACTGTGTAGCCTGGCTGTCCCAGAACTTGCTTTGTAGACCAGGCTGGCATTGATCTCACAGAGATCCACCTGTCTCTGCCTCCCTAGTGCTGGGATTAAAAGTGTGTGCCACCACCTGTTTTTTTATTATAATGTGTATGTGTGGACGTGTGGACGAGGGCTGGTGCCTCTGGAAGAGCTGTACACACTCTTAATCACTGAGCTGTCTCTCCAGCACCCATTGTTTTTATATTTTTATTTTATTTTTCATTTTTCAAGACAGGGTTTCTGTGTAGCCCAGGTTGTCCTGAGTTCAGGACCAGGCTAACCTTGGTCTCAAAGATCTGCCTGCCTCTGCTTCCTTAGTGCTGGGATTAAAGCATGCAGGCATACAGCGCCACCCTGGCCCGTTATTTTTACTTTTAATTATGTGTATATGTGTGTGGGCGTGTACACATAAACATAGAGCCTGCAAAGGCCAAAGGAGGGCTTTGGATCTCCTGGAGTCACAGGCCCACGTGAGCTGCTGTGGGGGTGCTGGGAACCAGATTCAGGTTCTGTAGCAAGAGTATGTGCTCTTAAGCAACAAGCCATCCCTCTCCAGCCTGGATCAACGTTTCTGTATGTTCTTCCCTGGCCCCCTCTTCTCCTGGAGGCACAGCGTCTTAGATACCTTTCTATTGCTGTGCTAAGATACCACGAACAAGGCAGCTTCTAGAAGAAAGTACTTAACTTAGGGCTTACCGTTTCAGAGGGTTCCAGTCCATGGCCATCACGGTGGGGAGCAATGCAGTGGGCAGGCAGGCATGGCGGTGGAGCAGTAGCTGAGAGCTTACATCTTGAGACACAAGCCAAAAACCAGAGAGGTAAATGGGAATGGTAAAGGCTTTTGAAACCTCCTCCAACAAGGCCACATCTCTTGATCTTTTCCAAGCAGTTCCACCGAATGGAGAACAAGATGAGCTTTTGGGGCCATCCTCACCGAAACCACACACGTGCTATGGAACAGTGGATAGAAAGAACATGTGGCGTCAGCAGGAACACACGCTCCTGGGCCTGGCAGCTTCACTGTGTGTCTCTAGCTGCGCCCTAACCTTTCTGTTTGCGCTCTCACAAAGCTGAGATGATATATTCCTTCTTTGTAACACTAGTGAGGGTTAAAAGTGGCTTAACACATGCAAAGGGCTTAAAGCAGCCACAACACAATTGCTGCTCAATAAATCTGTCGTTTGTATTTCGGAAGCCATGGCTGTGAGTGTTAGCTTGTCCGTTCTCTCTCCTCTCCCCTCCCCTCTTTTACGTCTGTCTGTATCTCTCTTTGCACTTGCATGCGTATGTGTAAAGGTCAGAGGACAACTTCTGGTAACACTCTGCCATCTTATGATTTGAGACTGGGTCTCTCATTGTCCCAGAACTCACCAGTTAGGCAAGGCTGACTGACTTAGAGATGCACCTGTATCAGCTTTCCCTACACTGAGATTCTAAGTGTGAACCACTGTACCACTGCGCCTGGTTTTGTTATGTGAGTTCTGGAGACGGAACTCAGATTAGCCTGGGCTATACATGTGCATTTACATGTGCACACTGCACACCACACACACATGCGCGCGCACACATACACACACACACACAGTAATTTTAAAGGGAACAACAGCCCCCTCTTCTTCCTCTTCTATTTTGAGGCTGGCCCTCCCTTTGTAACTCAGGCTGGCTTTAAACTCAAGATCCTGCTGAGCCCCGTCGTGCAGGATTCCAAGCCTGTGCCACTATATTCCTTTATCTTTCATTTGCTTCTTTGTTTTGAGGTGAGCTCTCAGGTGGCCCAGACCAGCCTCTAACTTAGCTGAAGACGACTTTGACCTCCAGGTGTCCGGCCTTCCCTTCCTGAGTGCTGGGATGATAGGCGTGCCTCACCACATCTGGCTTTATGTGGACTGAAGGTAGAATTCAGGACTTTGTACATGCTAGACAAGGGCTACAGCCCCATTCCCTGTCCTGACGTGGGAAGTCCTTCTGGATATGTGTTGCTTTTATTGGTTGATGAATAAAGCTGTTTTGGGCAATGGCTTAGTAGAGTAAAGCCAGGGAGGAAATCCAAACAGAGATATAGAAGGAAAGTAGGTGGAGTCAAGGAAGCTGCCAAAGGAGAAAGATGCTAAACCTTACTGGTGAGCCACAGCCTCGTGGCGATACACAGATGAATAGAAATGGGTTAAGATATAAGGGCTAACTAGGAATATGCCTGAACTCTTGGCCAAACAATGTTGTAATTAATATAATTTTTCCAGCCTGTGGAGATGGCGTAGTGGTTTAGAGACTGGCTGCTCCTCCATCCACAGGACCCAGGTTCCATTCCCAGCACCCGCAGGACAGCTCACAGTCATTTGTAACTCCAGTTCCAGAGGATCTGACATCCACTTCTGGTCTCTGTGGACACGAGGCACGCATGTGGTGGTAGATATATGTGCAGACAAAACATCCACACACAGACATAGCCTGGATGACCTTTAACATCTGATGCTCCTGCCTCCTTCCAGTACACCTGGTTTATTCTCTGCTAGGAATGGAGCCCAGGGCTTTGCACATGTTAGGAAAGGACTCTGTAGTGATTCCCCTGTAGGCTTTACAGCAGGCAGGGGAGAAAAGGATCCACAGAGAGATAGGACCAAAGCTGGACCAGGACTTCTAGAGTCTGGCCCAGATAATTTTACTGCAACCATATTTAATCACAGCACAATTTAGGGAAACCGTGTTGTGCCTAGATTACAACCCCCAGAGAGACCACCAAAAACCAGAGAAGTCCAGACTGCAACTGCAAGGTTTATTGTTAATTGTTAGGGTAATGTGAGCTAGCACGGAACTTGTCTCCTGCACTCCTAGCTGCGAGGCAGGGAGGAGTTAGAGTTCTTCTGTGGGGTTAGCTTTTTTAAAAACAAAAACTACAAGCCCTTACAGCGGTCAGGAGTTTTGGCGCAATTTTTATTTCTACTTCTTGAAGGTCTTTGCTTTTTCTCATCCTGATTTGTTTTGTCTTTAGAGTCAGGTTACGCTGTTCCTGAGTTGGGGCATCTTGTGGTTTATCAGTCACCACCAGATGGTCAGGCGTCCTGAATCTTGTGCTTTAGACTTTCCCGAGAAGGAGGGGGGGGGCACCATCAGCTCTGGGAACATGAAGCTAGTCTGGGGGTTTTGATTTTAAAACACTCTGCCAGGAAATTCCTTTGAGAGTAAGGGGTGAGGGTCTTACAAAAGTATTCAGATAACAATTAACTCAGTCCCAAGTGTACAGAATTTTTTTTTTCGAGTCAGGGTTTCTCAGTACCTTATGGAGCCAGTCATGGAACTCACTCTGTAGACCAGACTGGCTTCGAACTCACAAAGATCTGCCTGCCTCTGCCTCCCAAGTGCTGGGATTAAAGGTGTGCGCCACCATCGCCTGGCATGCATCATAATTTTTTTTAAGTGACCAGTACAACCTCCTCCTCCAGCAAGTCCTAGAAAGTCATAGTGGTCTCGAACTGCCCTCTCATCCTTCCTCTGCCATACTCCTCCACCAAACTCTGTCCCCCTAAGCCACCACGAAGGACCCACTTTGCTTAACCAGACAGCAGTTTCTTAACTGACTCTCGTAGAAATACTGGTAGGAAAGGAGAACGGGCTGTGAGACTCTGATTTCCGGTTTCTGTTGCTGTGAGCAAGCCCCATAACCACAGTCACTTGGGGAGGAGAGGGTTTTCGTATTACAGTTCTCAGCGGTTCATCACTGAGGGATGTCAGAGCAGGCACTTGGGGGCAGGAGCTGATGCAGAGACCATGGAGGGTGCTGCTTACTGATTTGTTCCCCGTAACTTCTTTCTCAGTCTGTTTTGAGAGCACCCAGGACCACCAGCACAGGTGTGGCACTGCCCACAGTAAGCGGCGTCTTCCCACGTCAATCATCCACCAAGGAAAAGCCCCACAGGCTTTCCCACCAGCAAATTTGGTGGGGACATTTTCTCCATTGGGGCTCCCTCTCTCAAAATAACTCTGGCTTGTGCCAAGTTGCCAGCACAGTCTCCCAGAGGCCTGTGTGTCAAAGGTCAGACTCTCAGGGTTTACAGATGGGTCCTCTGCAAGGGACGAGCCAGTTATCCTGCCTGACCAAGGTCTTAACGGCCACTGGCACCTCTAGGACAATGTTTGGATCTTCTCTCATGATGAGAATGGGGTCCCTGTCATTGACTCACAGCCTGTTTGTGTTGATGTATGCTAGCAAGGAGAAGGAACTCTCTAGAAGTTTGGCGGCCCCTATACAAGCACCTCCCCTTGAGTGTGGTAGAACTCTGTGGTCTGCCAAGAGAGCATGGCAAAAGTGGTGGGATGCCACTGCTGGAGGTAGGTTATAAAAAGAGATTCTCTCTTCTCTCTCTCTCTCTCTCTCTCTCTCTCTCTCTCTCTCTCTCTCCCCACAAAACACACACACACACACACACACACATCCTCTCTCAATCTTGTTCTTTTACTCTTTCTCAGGATCTCACTACACAGCCCAGGTCAGCCTCAAAATCATGGTAATCCTCCTGCCTCCACTTCCAGAGTACTGAGGTTTTAATCCAGCACCACCCACACCTGGCTGTATTTCTGTTTTCATTGTAATGTGTCTATTGGCTATTTGGACTTTCATTCAATTTTTGTTTTATTTATTTGTTTTAAAGATTTATTTATTTCATTATATGTGTTGAGTGTTTTGCATGCATATGCACTAGGTGCATGCCTGGTGCCTGCAGAGGTAAGAAGAGGACATCAAATCCTTGGAACCAGAGTTACAGACGATTGTGAGCTGCTGTGTGGGTGCAGGGAGTTGAACCTGGGTCCACTTCAAGGACAATAGGAGCTATTAACTGCTGAGCCATCTCTCCAGCCCTTGTTTAATTTTAAATTCACAAATGAAAACTACATGTGTATTTATAGTGTGCCCATGCGGTTTGGGGACATGTGTGCCCATGGGGTGTGGGGACATGTGGACTGTGGACAATCTAAATGGAGCTACCCACCATGCTCTTTCAACTTTGCCTCAGAGCAAAGGCGACTCGAGGGCAATAGAAACTGCCGTGTGGCATTTGAGTTTTTCTCTTTTCCAGCCTAGGGACATGTGGTCCCCTGCTCCTTCTCAGTGCTGTGCGGTGTAGGACGGCAGACACCCCAGGCTGCGGCAGGAGGTGACAAGAGCACAGATATCTCCGGGCACTGTGTTGCTAAGCCAGGATGTTGGGTGGCTAGGTGTATCAAACACATCTAGTTATTGTTCAACTCAGGGCTGGGAAGGCATTCATAAAGCGCTTGTTTTGCAGGTGTGAGGACCCAAGTTTGATCACTAGAACCCGCATTAAAAAAAAGTCAGGAGTGTTGGCCTGCTTGGAGCCCTAGTGGGGGAGTGGGGACAGGGGATCTCTGGGGCTGACCAGCAGCTAGTCTCCGGAATTGGAAGTGGTGAACTCCAGGAGCAGTGAAGAACCCAGAGAGTCAGAAGAGAGAACCGGATCCCTTGGAGCTTGAATTACGTTGTAATCTGTCCAACTTGGGTACTAGAAACTGAACTTTGGCCTTCCAGAAGTGCACCTAACTGCTGAGCCATCTTCCCTGCCTCAAGACTGCCATTTTCTAATCATAAAATCAATCCCAGCACACAGTAGGTCCTCATTATTGCGTAGTGAATTAAGATTTTCGATGAGGTGACCTTTAGACCCTGCGTGCAGGTCCCTGTCTGCTCAACCTGAGCTACAGTCACCATGCACACGGCCAGCACTCTTTGAGCAATTGCTGAATGCACAGGTCATGTGATCACAGGACAGATGTTCCCATTTTGTCTTCAGAAGAACTGCTGCCACCGTCCTGTTTACAGTCAGAAGGGCACAGGTACACAGCGGCAAAGCCATGAGGTTTTTTGTGTGTGGGGCAGAGTTGTGTAGGCACATCCATGTGTGTTCCTGTCTGTGGAGGTCAGAAGCCCATCTCATATGACATTCTTTTTGTTCGTTTGGTTTTTTTAGAGATAGGATCTCTCTAAGTAGCTCTGGTTGTCCTGGAATTCACTATGTAGACTAGGTTGGCCTCGAACTCAGAGAGATCTACTTGCCTCTGCCTCCCAGTACTAACATTAAAGATTAAAGGTGTACACAACCATACAAGCATGCCTGATTTAGACATCATTTTTTTGTTTGTTTGGTTTTTTTTTCCCCCTTGTATCCCTGATTGTCCCAGGCTGGACTCAGATTCACAAGTGCTGCCTCCCAAGTGCTGGGATTAAAGGTGTGCACCACCGCCTGCTAGGTGTCATTTTTACGTGCGTCTGTTTGCATGTCGTGTGTGGATGCATAAATGCCAAGGCATATGTATGGAGTTCAGAGGAATTGTTAGAGTGGGTTCTCTCCTTCCATCATGTGAGGTCCAGGAATTAAACTCAGGTCATCAGGATTGGCAGGAAGCGCCTTTACCCCCCCCCCCCCCAGCCATCTTGATACCCTTAATTTCTTTCTTTCTCTCACTGGCCTGCGTCTCTTTGATTAGGCTGGTCAGTGAGCTCCAGCAATCAGCCTGCCNCCATACCACAAGGACATGTGCTCAGCTATGTTCATAGCAGCTTTGTTTGTCATAGCCAAAAACTGGAAACAACCTAAATACCCCTCGACTGAAGAACGGATAAAGAAATGTGGTACATTTACACAATGAAGTACTACACAGCGGAAAAAAATAATGACAGGTTGAATTTTGCAGGAAAATGGATGGAGCTAGGAAACATTATTTTGAGTGAGGTAACCCAGACACAGAAAGACAATTATCACATGTACTCACTCATAGGTGGTTTTTAAACATAAAGCAAAGAAAGCCAGTCTACAAACCACAATTCCAGAGAACTTAGACAACAATGTGGACACTAAGAGAGACTTACATAGATCTAATCTACATGGGAAGTAGAAAGTAGAAAGACAAGATCTCCTGAGTAAATTGGGAGCATGGGGACCTTGGGGGAGGGCTGAAGTGGGGAGGGGAGAGGCAGGGAGGGGAGCAGAGAAAAATGTAGAGCTCAATAAATATCAATAAAAGAAAAGAAAAAAGAAAAATGACCGAAGTGAACGTGACCATAAAGGGCTGGTTTGGGTGGTGTCAAGTCTCCAAAGGTGAGTAGTTTGGATGGAGGCTAGATAGGGGATAGACAAAGTGGTCCAGAGCTCCTGAGATGACTCAGTGGGTAAAGGCACTTGATCCCCAGGGGCTCCCAAAATAGCAGAGAACTGACCCCAGCACTTTGTCTTCTGATTTCCATGGGCTCTGATCTGCAAGTAAATATTTTTTGTGTGCATTGTTGTTCTTTGAGACAGGGTTTCACTGTGCAGCTCTGGCTGTCCAGGAACTCACTCTGTAGAACGGGCTGGCCTCCAACTCACAGAGATCCGCCTGCCTCTGCCTCGTGAGTGCTGGGATCAAAAGCATGGGTCACCACCACACCCGGGGAAATAAATGTTAAAAAATAAAAATAAGGAAGTTTCCCAGAAGGCCTGACCCTCATACCTGGTTTGGACTACTACCTGCACCCCTACTTTCAGGGTGACTTTGGGGGAGTCATCTCACTGCTGGTGCCTAAGCTCCCTCTCTTCTGAGCAGCGCGGATTTCATAACAGTCTCCTAAGATCAGAGGAGTTGCGTCAAGCTTCAGGCTGCTGGCACCCAGCCGTTCTGCACATGCCAGTCTGGCTATGGTGATTTGGGGAGTGTTTTCTGAGGATGTGCTGAGGTAAAGACCCGGCTTCTGACCCGGGGGGGCGGGCACCTCTGTCTCTACAGCAGCTAGCCTGCTAATTACTACCAGGGTTTAAGAACCCCGACCTTGAGGGGCGGGGGTGCAGGGTGGAGGGGATCTTTGGCCAGCCCTCAGAATACTCATCTCCTAATCTCTCTGCGGGCTGGTGAGTCTCTAAATCCTCCTGAATTTACTTTTCCTGCCTTTCTCGAGCAGGGAAGCTGGATGCAGGGCTTAGGGGATGACTGAGAGCGTCATGAGCGGAGGTGGGGCTGCAAGGAACGCCTCTCTACTCTGCCTGCAGGATCTGGTCCCCTGGACCATCCCTGCAGAGTCTCAGGTTTCGGGGAGCCCTCCACCACAGTAATCCATCCTTGCAGTTCAGGGCGCCAGGCTCAGAAAAGCGTCTTCCACACTGCCGTGCCCTCAGGCAGTGTGTGTGAGGCCTCGGTTCCCACCTTTGAAGTGAGTTGGGATCGTCTACTGAGGAAGCTTCGGGATTTTTGGAATTAGGGATGGAAACCATCCGGTGAGACCTGAAAAATAAGGATGAGGGTAAATGGGGTAAAAAGCCAGGCCAGGTAGCATCAGAGAGGCTGCTGCCCTCTCCAACCAGTGAGAGTTGCATTCACTAGTTCCAGCCTGCATGCCCAGCATCCTCCGCTGGGCGATGGCAGCCTTTTGACCATGTTTTCTGTCATCTGCCAACTCCAGCAGAATTAAGGCCACGTGCAGGACCTGGAGCTGTGCCTCAGTAGGTAGAGCGCCTGCCTGGTGTGCGCAAGGCCAGCACCTTGTAAACTGGCCCTGACCATGGCGGTGCACGTCTGTAATTACCTACATGCTTAGCAGGTGGAAGCAGGAGGATCATCAGCTTGAGGCCAGCTTGAGCTACATGGTGGAAACCTGTTTTTAAAGAAAGAAAAGAAAACAAGAGCCAGGTGGGGATATGTTTTGCAAACTGCAACCTCAGCACTTTTGAGGCAGAGGCAGGAGAATCAGGAGTTCAACTAAACCTTGGCTACACAGTGAGTCTGAGGCCAATACTGGACGTCAGGACCCTAACTCAAAACCCAAAACATAGTCAGCGAGTAATGTGCTCGCATAAGTACCTGAGCTGGAATCCCCTGACCCCAAACAAAATGAAAACAAACAAAGCCAGATGTGGTTGCACGCCTCTGTAAGCCCAGGGTAGGTGGCACAACAATCCGAGTCTGGTGTCCAGCCAGGTTTTGTTTTGTTTTTCAGAACAGGGTTTCTCTGTGTAACTCTGGCTGTCCAGGAACTCACTCTGTAGACCAAGCTGGTCTCAGACTCACAGAAACCCATGCCTCTACCTCCCGAGTGCTGGGAGTAGGGCTGTACCACCATGGCTGGCTAGTGCCCAACCAGTTTAGCCAGTCCTTGAGTTCTGCGTTTACTGAGAGACCCTATTGGAACGATATGGTGGAAAGGGTAGATAGCACTCAGGGGCGGTGCCTGATCTTAGGGAGACATCTAGTCTCCACATTTGTTTGCAAACCCACACAAACACATACCTAATATTTTATTTTATGTGTATGAGTGTTTTTAGTCTTCATATATGTCTGTGTACCACATGTATGTCTGGTGCCCATGGAGATCAGAAGATGGCATCGAATCCCCTGGAATTGGCGCTACAGATGGCTGTGAGCCACCATGTGGGTACTGGGAATTGAACTCAGGACCTCCGGAAGAGCAGCCAGTGCTCTTAACCACTGAGCCATCTCTCCAGTACCCCAACTTCCCCTTTAAAGCATCCTTTTAAGATCTTACTACGTAACTCTGGGTGGTCCAGAACTTGTAGACAAGGTTGCCTCAAACTTAGATGGGCCACCACGCTCAGCCCTAAAATCTTTTAAAAAGATGCACCCCTTCTCTTCCTCTCTCTCTCTCTCTCTCTCTCTCTCTCTCTCTGAAGGGACTTGATTCACAAGAAAAAAAAAGGGCATCAGTCCTCATTCACAAAAGGTAGCAAACTGGCAGCAGCTCCTGTGATCTTTACCTGAAGGCTCTGGGTGGCCCAGCAGAGCTCCTGGCCCTGTGTCCCAACCTCCGAGACTGGGCGCCCTGACTTGTTCGAGCCTCTGGCCAGTTTTCCACCACCAATGCCATAGATGTATTGTGAAGCTCAAACCAGTTTTCTTTTCTTTTCTTTTCTTTTCTTTTCTTTTCTTTTCTTTTCTTTCTGTCTTTTGTTGTTGTTTGCTTGTTTATTTTTTTTTATTTTTTTATTTTTTTTTCTTTCTTTCTTTATTTATTTATTAA